GTACGTAGATAGGTGTCTCCAACCAGTGGTTACCAAATGTCCTAGTTACCTGAAGGACACCTCCAATATCCTCCAAGTTTTAACAGATCATAAGTGGAAGGAAAATAGCTTTTTGGTGACAGCTGACGTTAGTTCGCTGTACACCATTATTTCTCACGATAAAGGGTGTCAAGCGACAGAACATTTTTTACAGCAGTCAGGAACATTTCCAAGTGGACAAATTGATTTTTTAGTTAAAAGTATCAGATGGATACTGAATAACAATTATTTTTGGTTTAACGATCTTTTCTACTTACAGATATGTGGAAATGCGATGGGCACGAGGTTCGCGCCAAGCTATGCAAATTTATTCATGGCTTTGTGGGAACAAGAATTTATTTACCAAGATGGTAGTTGGAGCGCGAACCTCGTTGCCTATCGCCGTAGACGACATATTTTTCATTTGGCAAGGGGATGAGACATCCCTGATATCTTTTTTGGACCATCTGAATAATAACGATTGGGGAATTAAATTAGTCTCGAATTATAGCAAGATTCTAGTGGAATTTCTGGACCTCCAAATTTATGTTGAGGATGCATGTTTGAAGACATGTACTTTTTTCAAACCTGTGGATGTTAACAGCTACATTGGGGAGAATAGCTGCCATTTCTCCCCATGGTTGCTGAATGCACCCAAAGCGCAACTGCTCAGGATAAGGAGGAATTGCACGGAGGAATGTAAATTCCAAGAACAATCCCACAAAATTCTGAAAGATTTTAGAGAAAAGGGATATAACGAGACATTGTTGGGGAAAGCCCTTGAAGTCAAAATAAAGGACAGAAAAGATCTAATTAAATATAACACTAAAAATAAAGTTGAACCACAAACAATAGGACTTATATGTGACTTTAACTGTAAAAGTAAAGAATTTAGAAAAATAGTTTCAAAGTATTGGCCAATTTTAAGAAATGACCCCCTCCTTAATAGTATTCTTCCGGAGAAGCCTAAGATTGTTTATAGAGGAGTAAAGAATTTAAGAAACACTTTAACATAACCATATACCCCTAAAAAGATGTAATAGGGACTTTTTCAACGAAACAAAAGGGTTTTATGGTTGTGGACACTGTGGTGCGTGCAAGAACTCAAAAAGTAAGAAGAGACTAGTAAAAGAATTCTCACACCCTCAAAATAAAAAAGTCATGTTTAAGATCAACGAGCTAATTACTTGTCAGTCCACGAGAGTTATTTATCTCTTGATATGCCCATGTGGACTTGTATATGTAGGGCGCACCAAAAGAAAGTTGCACATTAGAGTACAGGAACACATTAGGAACATTAGGAACAACTATGAAAAGCACAGTGTCTTCTTACATTTTAAAAATAAACATAATAGCGATCCCACCCAGTTAGAATTCCATGCAATTCAGAGGGTATCACCCGATTGGAGAGGGGGAGATTTTATTAAAAAATTAGGCCAAAGGGAGATGCAATGGATTTTTAACCTGAATACCATGCAGCCTAATGGTCTCAATGATGATTTTGAGTTATGCCATTTTTTAACTTAAATTATTTTTTTATTAGTATGTTTCATACATTTTAAATATTTGCTCTATGGCCATACCAGTCTGAAAATGCCTGATCTCGTCAGATCTCAGAAGCCATCCAGGCTTAGGCCTGGTTAGTACTTTAATGGGAGACCAGCTAGGAACCTACTATATATTTATATGTTTTTTATATATATATTTTAATATTGATATCATCATTGAAGATAAGCTGCTGACACAATTGAGACCTATTCAATAATAATCAGCATTTCTCCTAAAAGAGCACACTCCTATTCACCACCTATCTTTATGCATGTACTGTCACTTTGAATGAAAAACATTAGATGTTTTTATTTTTTTTGATATGTAAATGTTATGAATTAACTTGTAAACAATATACAATAATACTATCCCCCTTTCTCCCTTCATTTTTTCGTTTATATATCGCTCAAATTGAGCACCTGGCTTGTAAATAGGAACGGACTTGGTTGAAGGAAGGGCCTTTTGCCCAACTTAAAAATGGACGATATGGAACTGTGAGCCCTACATTGAAAACACGCCCAATTTGTGATGCGGCACGTGATGCTTCGGGTCACATGACTTGTTCCGAGACCGGAGCATACTCATTACTAACACAGCACAGCTGTTCATGAAAAAGGACGCCAGCAGATTGGAGGGAGGGAAGTTTGAAGGACCACACAGGAGGAAGTACAAAGTATTTAAACAAGTAACAGCAGCAACTATATTACCGATTGAAAAAGCTGTCTGGGTACAGTGAAACATGTTTCGGCTGGAGGATTGAAGATTCCACATTTTATAATTTCTCACAATTTTGTTTATATTTTACTTGTAAGTTTTTACTACTTTATTTAATAAATTTTGTTTTATATTTGCAATCCACCCTCCATTGTTGCTGCTTAAAGAAGGGTAGTTGCCCCCTTAAAGGCACAGACACCTACACACCAGGAGCCAGGTATAGGGCTCCACATCAGGTGAGAAGCCATTTTTTCTGCACTATTTGACATTGTACATTGGGATTGACCGCACTAGGGGTTCTCCTCTTCCCCTTGTCTCTCTCTCTCTCATGTATGCATAAGGATCTCCAGACGCCTAGAGGACCGATTGGGTACTGTGTCACCATAAGCACACGCAGGCCATTGAGATCTGAGCCTATCCTATAGGGCTCTGCTACATGTGAGTGAGACCATATAGAATATTCCCTCACTGCACTTATTGAAAACGTTATCTGCACTATTTCTTGCATTTACATTTGTTTCAGATATATCGCTATGAGTCACGTTTTCCATACATATGTATGTTAACCCATATGGGTGAGTCAACAAATTTGTAAGCGCTCCATATGCACACCAGTGGTGGTTTTTATCATTAATTTCCCATACTGAGTGTACACCTAATCTTTTTTGTACTAATCTATAGGGTAGAGAGTCCCTATTTGTGTGGTAGCTGCTGTCATTTTACTCAATTATTAACTGAAAGCGCCTTGAAAACACACAAATTCTTATTTCTGTCAGTTTATGTGTCTGTGTAAGTATGTCTGTCAGTTTGTATACATATAATCTGTGTGTGTATATGTGCATACATCTCAGCATTCACACACTAACACTACATACAAATACACCCCTGCATTCAAACTCCAACACTAGGTACAAACACATGTCTGTGTTACACACCAAAATTATATGTAAACACACCCTTGCATTCAAAAACCAACACTACACATAAATATATGCTTGCAAGTACACCAACACCACATACAAACTTATTTTACAAAAAAACCTGTTTACATTCAAACACACAAAAACAGCATTGTGCTAAATACAAACCTTCAAACATGGGTAAATGGTAGAGCCACAGCTGTCAATGCATTGCTGAAGTTGCACGACAGATGGGGAACTACCTTCTAATCACCCGTGCGAAAGGGAGGCACAAAAAAATTCTTGCACCTCTCTACTTTAGGTCTGCCTCTGCGTTGGGGTGGAGGACATGATTGCACACCTGGCGAGGGTACCAGGGGGCCCAAGCAAATGCTTTGCCCAGGGTCCAATCAATATTAAAGACGGCCCTGGTTCATCCAGTATGTAAAGTCTAATTACTATGCTTTTCTTTTCATTAGATTTAAGTGTAGGCATAAAATCTCGTGATGGACTTCACACCTCTATTTTTTCTGCAATCAAGGATGAAAGTGATATGAAAAAAAGGGTGGAAGCAAATTTTCAGAAAAAAATTGAACAAAGAAAGAAGCTGTAGTGGATGGCATTGGGCTGTCCTCAAAATTATGTGTATTCGAATGCTTTCGGTTAATTTTTGCCATATGTATGTAAGTTGTATGCAACATTCGTTTGATTGTTCGGTAAAATCACTCCAGTTATTATGCGAGTGAAACTACCGAACAATCAGACCACCCCAGGAATAAGTGTGCCTCCAATTACCGTTTGCAACAATGTCGCAAACGGGTAATTGGCAATCAGTGCAGTGTGTGTTTGTCCTCTGGGTGGCCGCCATTCAGGAGAAGAACACGTGGCGGCGGCCATCTTAAACTCCCGAACAGCTGTGTTTTGCCGTCGAGTGTCTGGAACCCAAATCATACACTCGGCTAGGCAAACACCGCTGAGACCTCCACACTGCCGTCACTTCGTGTAGAAACTACCGAACGGCTCCCCGTTTGGTAGAAAGAACCCCACGAACAAGGGGGTTTATCTGAATCCTCCCCAGTCTCCATAACCCAAGCCATTTGTGCATTTTGTTCCCTTTTTCTGTGACTGACCGCAAGGCCAAAATGTATGGAACCCATTTCGGCTGTTAGCCCCAGCGCGGTCGGTCTTTTTACTACCTCCAGGAATTTCCCGAACCCCTGGTCCGATCTGGGTGCTTTTTGAATATGTCTTACCCAGATCAGGGCTACCAGGGGATGTAATAGTTAAAGGGGTACCCCTATGTTTAGGGGTACATCCAGAAAACCAGGGGAATTGTGTCCTGCATAATGGGATTATGAGTCATACTAAGGGGAGGGGATGTGTGGGTTGCAACTCATGTATGATTGGTGTACTGTATAATTACTGTAAATCCCTCCCTTGCATGGGATTGACTTGCCTGCTGTAATTATTGCCTTATGGATTTTTAATACTTGTTCCTGAGCCTCACTTGGTTCTTGAGTGGAGATAACCTGTGGACTACCAGCTCTCTGCTACAGAAGCCGAGAGAATTTATTAGAAATGTACAACAGGAATCATATTTGTGTGAAAAGTATAGTCTCACAGACACTGAGATTTACACACCTACAGAACATACACAGGTGGAATATCCGTCAACTCTTACGAAGAAGGCATCAGCCTCACATGAAGAAGTAAATCTCACAGATAGTGACATTTATACATCCACAGAACATACAACTAATAAAATAATAAATATATGTAGGAAAAGCTGCCAAAACCTTGCTACGCATTAGAGAGTTCACAATGAGACGACGCTTCACTGCGCTGAATGTGGAAAACATTTCACCCGTAACACATATCTCGTTGAACATCAGAGGATACACACCGGCGAGAAACCGTACTCTTGTTCTGAGTGTGGTAAGTTTTTTTGCCCAAAGCTCCTATGTTATGTCACACCAGAAGAACCACATAGGGGATAAGCCATTCTCTTGTTCAGAATGTGGGAAGTGTTTTACCTGCAGCTCACGCCTTGTGACATATCAGAGGATGCACATCGGAGAGAAGCCATTCTCATGTTCTGAATGTGGGAAAAGTTTTATAGTTAAATCGAGGCTTCTTTGCCATCAGATGATTCATACAGGAGAAAAGCCATTTCCGTGTTCTGAATGTGGGAAATATTTTACTGATACGCCAAGTCTCATTAAGCATCAGAGGACTCACACAGGAGAAAGACCATTCCCATGTTTTCATTGTGGAAGTGTTTTACTGATAAGTCAAGTCTTGTTGCTCACCAAGTGTTACATACAGGAGAGAAGCTATTCTCGTGTTCTGTGTGTGGGAAACATTTTAGTCACAAGTCAAGCCTCTTTTACCACCAGAGGATACACACAGAAGAAAACCCATAATCATGTACTGAATGTGAAAAATGTTTTAACCATAAATCCTGTCTTGTTACATATGAGATGATTCACACAGGAGAGAAGCTGTTGCTCGGTGTGTGGAAAAGGGTTTACTGCTAAATCATGTCTCGTTAAACATCACAGGGTTCACACAGGAGAGAAACTTTCTTGTTCCAAATGTGTAAAATGCTTTAAACAAAATGCACACCTTACTTCACATCAGAGGGTTCATAGAGAAAAAAGTACTGTAAACATTATTACTGCACCATTGTCTTTTGCTCTTTTTACTTGGGTAGTTCAAGACAAGCGCTAACTTGGAAAATTATCATGTTTACAACTTTGCTAATCTGAAGACTGTTTAGATGTACAGACAAACCAAGCCTGATGTCTTTGCTGCCATAGGCCATTTTGTTTAGACACCCACTTGTTCGCCATGTAGGCTTTCATTATTATATGATAACAGATGGAGTCTACAATATCAAATTCAGCCAAGTACACAGCCCTGTTGCTGCTGTTGATCAACAAAAAGGCAAAAATACAAATACTTATGTGATTCTCAGACCTAGGCTTGGCTTTCTACTTTACAGCTTACTCACTTTCAACTTGTTCTCTTGACTTGTTTTTTACTCTTTCTCTCCATTTGTTTTTTTGCCATATCCATTTCAGATTTAAATATGTTGTTTTTACTGCTGCCTTTTACATGGATGTATGTTTATCGCTTTAAATTCTTGCTACTCAAACTGTTATAACTTAAAGGGACACTATAGTCACCTGAACAACTTTAGCTTAATGAAGCAGTTTTGGTGTATAGAACATGCCCCTGCAGCCTCACTGCTCAATCCTCTGCCATTTAGGAGTTAAATCCCTTTGTTTATGAACCCTAGTCACACCTCCCTGCATGTGACTTGCACAGCCTTCCATAAACACTTCCTGTAAAGAGAGCCCTATTTAGGCTTTCTTTATTGCAAGTTCTGTTTAATTAAGATTTTCTTATACCCTGCCATGTTAATAGCTTGCTAGACCCTGCAAGAGCCTCCTGTATGTGATTAAATTTCAATTTAGAGATTGAGATACAAGTATTTAAGGTAAATTACATCTGTTTGAAAGTGAAACCAGTTTTTTTTTTTTATGCAGGCTCTGTCAATCATAGCCAGGGGAGGTGTGGCTAGGGCTGCATAAACAGAAACAAAGTGATTTAACTCCTAAATGACAGTGAATTGAGCAGTGAAGGTTAGTAACTGGAAGCTGAGTATAGGTGGCTGGAGTACTGCGGGTGAGTGACTGAGGTGTAAGTGGCAGCTATAGACTGGTAAGGATGTGAGATAAATGGGGAATGTCATGGGTGTTCATGGAGTTAAAAAAAAAGGTGACACCCTCACACAGGAAGACTGCTGATTTCATGGTGACAGATACACAATAGAGAGGGCAAGGAGGGACAGTGGCATATTGTGGCAATCTAGGGGAGCATGCTAGAATGGCCCATATGTTAACCAAGCTGAAGAGATCAAACGATCCATAGATCACTCACAAGGGCTAATTTTTCACTTGCCAACAGCCAGTGGTAAGTGGTACCAACTTCCTGCAGACATTTTGGCCAAATAATCATGCATCAAAATCTCTAATTCCATCTCTGATTATTTGTGAAGTACACAACACATGAAACGCGTTGGGGTGTTTTAGTTTAAAATAGTGTTATTATTTTTAGTTAGATAAGTAGAGTATGTCTCTTTCCCTCATTCCATGCTACTCTGTTTATTAGAGTCTATTTCTCAGTTTAGAATTCCTCCTCTATCCTCTTTTGCTCAGCTCATCATAATGGGAGTTATTGGTGGCACGTATTTTCGATATATTTGCATTCAACAGCATGAGAATGATAATTTAACAATTCACTGTGAAGCAGCTAAAGTACAGTGACAATATTAGATATACTGAATCCACGCTGTCTACTTCTAATATAGGGCTATATGTTAGACATTGAAGACCAGGGCCGCCATCAGAAATTGTGGGGCCCCTGACAAAGCACAAGGTCTGCCCCCCCCCTTCTCCCTCTCCTTCCCTCCCCCCGTGCCCGCCCATGCCCTACCTAGTCCGCTCACAATGATGCAGGACTGAATGTGGTTTGTAGAATGTGTGTTAGTGTGTAGTGAATGCAGTGTATTGTACAAGTGTATACAGTGTGTGTGTTGTGTTAGTGTATGCAGAGTGTGTTGTGTTGGTGTATGTAGTGTGTGCGTTCTGTTTGTGTATGCAGTGTGTGTGTTGTGTTAGTGTATTCAGTGTGTGTGTGTGTTGTTAGTGTATGTAGTGTGTGTGTTGTGTTAGTGTATGCAGTGTGTGTGTGTTGTGTTAGTGTATGCAGTGTGTGTGTGTTGTGTTAGTGTATGTAGTGTGTGTGTTGTGTTAGTGTATGTAGTGTGTGTTGTGTTAGTGTATGTTGTTGTGTTAGTGTATGCAGTGTGTGTGTGTTGTGTTAGTGTGTGTGAGTTGTGTTAGTGTATGCAGTGTGTGTTGTGTTAGTGTATGTAGTGTTGTGTTAGTGTATGCAGCGTGTGTGTTGTGTTAGTGTATGTAGTATGTGTTTTGTGTTAGTGTATGCAGTGTGTGTGTTGTCTTAGTGTATGTAGTGTGTGTGTTGTGTTAGTGTATGCGGTGTGTGTGCTGTGTTAGTGTATGCAGTGTTTATGTTGAGTTAGTGTATGTAGTGTGTTGTGTTAGTGTATGCAGTGTGTGTGTTGTGTTAGTGTATGCAGTGTGTGTGTGTTGTGTTAGTGTATGTAGTGTTAGTGTTTGCAGTGTGTGTGTGTTGGTGTATGCAGTGTGCGTGCGTTGTGTTAGTGTATGCAGTGTGTGTTGTGTTAATGTATGCAGTTGTGTTAGTGTATGCAGTGTGTGTTGTGTTATTGTATGCAGTGTGTGTTGTGTTAGTGTATGCAGTGTGTTGTGTTAGTATATGTAGTGTGTGTTGTGTTAGTGTGTTGTATTAGTGTATGCAGTGTGTGTGTGTGTGTGTTGTGTTAGTGTATGCAGTGTGTGTGTGTGTGTGTGTGTGTAAATGTGCAATCTGGGAAGGGGAGGAAGGGGCATTTTCACATACATTTTCTATTAAATGTTTCCCTGTTTCTTACCTGTGTCCAGGGAGGTGGGAGATTCCATCCCTGGTGGTCCAGTGGCATGGGGGGCCCCCCGGCTCCGTTACCGCAGTTGTGTTAGTGTATGCAGTGTGTGTTGTGTTAGTGTATGCAGTGTGTGTGTGTTGTGTTAGTGTATGCAGTGTGTGTGTGTGTTGTGTTAGTGTATGTAGTGTGTGTGTTGTGTTAGTCTATGCAGTGTGTGTGTGTTGTGTTAGTGTATGTAGTGTGTGTTGTGTTAGTGTATGTTGTTGTGTTAGTTTATGCAGTGTGTGTTGTGTTAGTGTATGTAGTGTGTTGTGTTAGTGTATGCAGTGTGTGTTGTGTTAGTGTATGCAGTGTGTGTGTTGTGTTAGTGTATGTAGTGTGTGTTGTGTTAGTGTATGTAGTGTGTTGTGTTAGTGTATGCAGTGTGTGTTGTGTTAGTGTATGTAGTGTGTTGTGTTAGTGTATGCAGTGTGTGTGTTGTAATAATATACCAGCAACTAAGATCGACATCAAATCCCTTCTCAGTGACATCCATGCGTTGTTCCAAGCCAACCACAGGAAGAATCAAGGATGCAGAGGAGGATACTCTAGATCAGGGATAGACAACCTTCTGTTCTTACAGTGTTGGGCATCATTCCAGGCTGAGGCTCTGAGACCCACCAAATCTGCTCCATATAGTTGTCAATAATACCCCATTTATTCTTGGGGAACCTTCTGCCTCAGCGGTTGGTCCAGTTTGACACTGTGGAAGTTCTCTTAAGTATTGTTTTTACTGGTGTGGTCTTACCTTATGATTGCAGTATACTACAACCTGTTTGACCTGGTTCATATCAGCCACTCCACTGTCTTATTCTAGAGCATAATTTTATATAGCAGATGTTATGTTGTTTCAAGTTTAACTTTACATTATTTATCACATTATGTAATATAACAGCACTAAGGCAATTTCACGCTTTTGATATTTCACTGATATATTATATACTATATATAAGCCATTGTCTCTTTTGTCGTTTTACTGAGTAATCTTGGCCTGTATATCTGCATGTTCTTTACATACTAAATAATGGACATTTACTGTTTTTCTAATTGAACTTTAATCTGTGTGTACTGATCCTCATTGGAAAGATTGACAATCAAATACATTACTCATCTTTTCATCAAGTGGGTAGTATCCTCTTGCCTCGGCTCCAGGGAGACTATCAGTGACTGTTTGCCGGGAACTGTCGCATAAACAGCGATTGCAGTGAACGTACCAATAATGCAGTGCTGACCCAATTAAATGCTTCTCATAGGAAAACAATGATGAATGCTTTCCCATGGAAGTTCTGCACTTCTGCATGTACAATGGTTCAAGCAGAAGGTACCATGAAGCGTTCCTTGCTGTCAGCTTGAAAGTTGGGAGGTTTTCCCAAATTGTCCTAAATCCATAATAATTTTGTATAAATTGGGACGAGAGAACACGCAGGTAACCTGTAAAGCAATGGAACAAGCTGAAGTGCTTTAAGGGCTTGGAGTATCCCTTAAAGTAGGCCGTAACATTCAAATGATACGAGGCATAACAGGTACAAATACATTTTCATCATCATCATGGGATAAGCAATGTGTTCCTATTAAAAAAACATTAAATGGCAAAAGCAGTACATCATGGAGAGCTACTCTAAACAAGTTACATTCAACCCCAAGTATCTTTTTTTAAATTTTAATTTCTTAGTTATGATTATCTCTATAATGTTCCTCTGTTATCTAAAACATATAAACAGCTGTCTTTTTATCAATGTTTCATATATTTTCTTTAGCACAGTATCACAGGCCTTTAAATATTTTTTGGGGAAAGAAAAACCATGCCCCATTCACCATTAAAATATTTTTACCAATAAGAAGTATAACAAGATCTGTGTTTATTCATGAACTAAAAATAGACGAATCAGACACAAAAAAAGTTACACACGCGATTTAAACAAAAATATCAACCAGCTGTACATTTCATAGTGAAACATAGACACATGTTTAATAAAGTTAGGATCTGTATTCTACAATTTTACATTTAAAATTCATTTTACTATCTGTTCATTGCTTTTCGTTAAAGCTTAACCGTTTGCTGTTTTCTAACTATCTGGCTTGATTCATGTTATACAATTAAGTATTTCTTCTTCCTTTAATATGATTAAAAGCTTATATTCTAATTTATTTCCATTGCTCCATCGATCATGTTTTCATTGGTTGTTACATTTGCTATAGGACACATCTCTCCTGCATATCCATTTACAGTTTAGCTTCTCATAACAGGTCAAATGTACCCAACACTGTATGTTGGCTTTATAGCATGTTAATAAAACTTATCTGTTCTCTCTCCATTCTCAGATTGTCTGACCATAGTCGCTGCAATAAATCATTCCGGCTGTTTCTCTCCTCTCTCCATGCTGCTGCTGGTGCTGCTGTCACACAGAGCTTGCCCTCTTTCCTGCTTTACCTTGCAGGCATTGCTTTTACTAAGACTGAATTCAGGCAGGAGGAGGCTCAGATGAGGGTTTTTCATGATAACAGACATGGAGAACACAGCCTTCTTAACTATGTGCTGATCAGCACAGACTGTACTGACTTAGGCAAGCTTAATGGGGAGAGAGGGCAGTTGTTTAACTTCTGCTTTTAAAGAAATCTATACATTTGGAACAATGTGTAGATTAAACTTGACTTTCCATCATTTAAGATTAAGTTGTAGCAACTCTCTCTGTGTGACTCAATTGGTGTCTTGCAAGGCTTGATTTAATCGTGAAACATTTCCCACATTTAGAACAAAAGAACGGTTTCTCCCCTGTGTGACTCTGCAGATGCGTAACAAGATGTGATTTATCTGAAAAGCATCGTCCACATTTAGAACAGGAGAATGGTTTCTCTCCCGTGTGAATCCTCTGATGTTTAATAAAAGAGGAACTACAGGTGAAACATTTCTTGCAGTCCGTACAGGAATATGGTTTTTCACCCGTGTGAATTCTTTGATGTGTAATAAGATTTGATTTGTCCATAAAACATTTTCCACATTCAGTACAAGAAAATGGTTTCTCTCCAGTGTGGCTCCTCTGATGTTTAACAAAATTAGATTTATTGTTAAAACATTTCCCACATACAGAACATTCAAATGGCTTTTCTTCTGTATGAATCCGATGGTGTGTAGTAAGATTTGTATTGGTTGTAAAGCGTTTATAACATACAGAACATGAGAAAGGCTTTTCACCCGTGTGACTTCTCTGGTGTCTAACAAGAGCTGACTTTCCAGTAAAACATTTTCCACATTCAGAGCATGAAAATGGCTTTTCTTGGGTATGAATTCGGCGATGGGCAATTAGATTTGTATTACTAGTAAAACATTTCCCACACTCAGAACATGGGAATGGCTTCTCTCCCATG